GTCAGTTGGCAAGGTAGTTGTCCTCCAGACTTCTTGGCATAAACTGATGAGTGCATCCAGGGCAGCATCTGTTTGATGAAATATGTCAATTGGTATGCCATCAATTCCTGGGGGTTTATTTTTTGCCAAGTCCTTCAGAGTAACCTGAACTTCCTTAGTCACCACTGCCTCTTGATCATACATGGTTGCATGAAATTCTTCTGTATCAGCCAATTCTTTTTGGTACAGTCACTCTGTGTTCTCCTTCCATCTTCTTTTAATACTTTCTGGATCATTCAATATTCTGCCCATAGCATCCTAAGCATAGCAACTCAATGTCTGACTTAGTTCCTTCAGCTTAAGAAATGTTGAGCGAGTACAGATGGCCCTTTTGATTTTTGGACTCTAGTTCTTTGGACACTTCATTAAAATACTTTACTTTGGTTTTTTTTTAAATTTTATTAATTTTAATGAACATTTACAGCGATTTTGGATTTTCTTTCATTCACTATTGCACTATTTTCTCTACCCACCCCCGTTTATTTCTTTTTGTTTTCCTTGAAAGCCTGTTTTAATTGTCCAGTTGCCACAGTGCTTGTCAAAGCCAGTTCTGATTAATCTCCTTTGTCAGTGTGTCCTTTGCCATTCCCTATCACTCCTCCCTGAGAGAGACTTCACCCTGATTCATAAGGAAAAGGGGACGGCGTATTCTCTTAGCTACTTTCTGCTGAAATGGGATGCTGTAGGTTTCAGGGTGAAGATCTTTTTTACTTTGTCTTCCTGAGCTGTCTCTTTAAATCTTCTATTCAGCTTCTTAGCTTCTCAATTTCTTCCCTTTGCTTTGGCTTTCCGGCGCTCTAGTGCAATATTCAGAGTCTCTTCTGACATCCACTTTGTTTTTTTCTTCTTCTTCTATCAGTGATTTCTTCAATGCAAATTCCTTTTATAAGAAACATAAACACAGGCTATACACATGGATTTCACCTGATGGTATACACAGGAATCAGATCTATTACATCTGTGGAAGGAATCACTGGAGAAGTTCAATACCAGCAGTGAAAATTAGTCCAGGTGTTATTTGCGAAAAAGACCTTCAACTACTCATAATGCAAGTTCAAATTAAAACTAAAGAAGGTCAAATCAAATCCACAAGAATAAAAATTTGACCTCGAGTCTATCCCACTGGAATTTAAAAACCAACTCAGAAACAGGTTTGAAGCCTTCAACACTAATAAACAAAGACCAAATGAGCTGTGGGACAATATTAAGAATATCATCCAAGAAGAATGCAAAAGGTCATTACAAAGAGAGTGCTCCCCAGAGAGATGCAAATCAAAACCACAATGAGATACCATCTCATCCCAGTAGCAGTGGCAGAGTGTAAGAGAACAGCAAGCACTAAATTTTGGAGAGGGTGTAGGGACTTTAGAAGTCTCATGCACTATTGGTTGGATTGTAAAATGGTACAACCACTTTGGTAGTCAGTTTGGCAATTCCTTAGAAAGTTAAACACAGAAATTCCATATGGTAAAGCTATTCCACTGCTAAGAATAGACTCTGAGGAAATCAACTGAGATACAAATGGAGATGTCTACACCAATGTTCATAGCAGTGTTATTCAAAATGACAAGAAAATGGAAACAGCTCAAATGTTCATCAACAAAAAGATGGATTGAGATACTGTTGTAGATTTACATGAAGTTCATTATTTTCCAATGTTGCATAATATTCCATTGTGTGGATATACCATACTTTTTTCTATCCATTCATTTTTAGACAGATACTTAGACTGTTTCCATATCTCTCCTGTCATTAATAATGCTGCAATAAAGGTGTACGTCTAATCTGCATTTTTAATTTCCTCTAAAATTCCTTCTTGAAATTTTCATTTCAAAAATATCTAGGAATCTGACATTAGAAAGATAATGCTGCAGAAAGATTTCATGCTTGAAATAGAATTTTATATAACATAGCTTGAAACACACACACATTTATAAGAGGTCATCACATCAGAGAAAACACTGTTGGTGTCAGATGAATCCTGGCTGAAAGTAAGGAATATCATAAGAATGTCTATTTATGCTTTATTGACTATGCAAAGGCATTTGACTGTGTGGATCATGACACATTGTGGCTGACATTGAGAAGAATGGGAATTCCAGAGCACTTGATTGTGCTCATGGGGAACCTCTACCTGGACCAGAAGGCTGTAGTACAAGCGAACAAAGCAGGAGAGGACTACATGGTTTGGAATTGGGAAGGAAGTGTGCCAGGGTTGTATTCTCTCTCCATATCTATTCAATATGTATGGTGGCAAGTTATTTGTGAGGTGGGACTCTATGAGGAGGAGTGTGTCATCAAGATTGGAGGGGAAACTCATCAATAATGTACATTACGTAGATAATACAACCTTGCTTGCTGAAAGTGAGGAAGACTTGAAATACTTGTTGCAAAAGATCAAGGAATGCAGCCTTCATTATGGTTTGTATCTCAATGTGAGGAAAACAAAGATTCTTACTACTGGACTGATAGGAAGCGTCATGGTCAATGGAGAAGAGACTGAAACTGTCAACAGCTTTATCTTGCTTGGATCCAAAATTAACACCCTTGGTACCAGCGGTTAGTAAATAAGGAGACACACTACACTGCGAAAATCTGCAGGTAGGGACCTCTCCAAATTACTGAAGAGTAATGATATCTATTTCAAGATTAAAAAGTGTCTGATTCAGGCCATAATCTTTCTGATCACTTACTATGCATCTGAGAGCTGGACAATGAATAAGGATGACAGAAAAAGAATTGATACCTTTGAGCTGTAGTGCTGGAGAAGAGCACTGAACATCCCATGGGTGGCCCAAAGAACAAACAGATAATGTCTTGGAGACAGTGCAGCCAGAGTGTTCTTTGGAAGTAAGAATCATGAGGCTTCACCTCACATACTTTGGGCATGTTGTTAGGAGGGGCTCTTCCTTGGAGAGGTACGTGATGCTGGGAAGGATGCAGGGTCAGCGAAGGAGAGGAAGACCCTCAACCAGGTGGGACTAACATGATGACTGCCACAGTGGGCTCTTCTGTGTCAGGAAGTGTAAAGAGGGCATACAATATAACAGTGCTCAGATCTTTTATTCATGTGGTCGCTATGAGTCGTCCTCAACTCAACAGTACCTAACAACAACAAAAGGTTTTCAGAAACAGTTAATCACACAGAAGGCGATTACCCATCCTTCTCCTGAACAATAATAACATATATAAAAATAAATAAATATGTGTGTATGTGGGTGTGTGTAAGGGAGTGAGAGACAAAGAGAGAAAAAGAAGTACTGCCTGGTTTAATTACGCCTTGATGATGTATTTGCAAAACCAAAAAAAGATAAATCTGATTCTTACTTCAGTCAGGAAGATAGGTCTGGATAAGAGAAGGCATGAGAATAATTCAAACCTAGCAGGTAATTGAACTGTAATGCTGGAGACTAGGACTGCATATCCCATGGACTACCAAAAGAACAAATAAATATGTCTTAGAAAATATGCAGCCAGAGTGCTCCTTTGTGGCAAAGATGGCAAAGCATCATCTCACATACTTTGGACATGTAGCTAGGGATATCTACTCCTTGAAGAGGGATGTCATGTTTGGAAAGGTCAGCAAAGGAGAGGAAGACCCTCTGGTACCAAGTGGACTGGCACAGTGGACTTCAGCAATGGGTCTGAGTGTGTCAGAGATTGTGAGGATGGTACAGGATAGGATAGGGTTCAGATTTGTTGTGTACAGCGTCACCTGGATTTGTACTAGGCTCAATGGTGCCTAACAAGATCAACAAGAATCAGGTAATTTAGCCTTTTTGAGACTAAGCCCCTGACAACTGCCTTCTAGCACACTTGGTCCTATGAGATGGGTGATTATTCCATTTGTATTGTTGATGTGTGCCATCAATCAAGCCAACTGTGATGCCTAGTGACCCTACCTGACAGAGCAGAATACAGGCTTCAGGACCCAGCCCAGAGGGTCTTCGAGGCTGTGTTCTTCACAGCAGCAGATGGACAGGTCTCTTCACTTATGAAATGGAGTCGCCAGGGGTTCAAATCATCAACATTTCAGTCTAATGTTAAGTAATAGATTACCCAACACAGTCTAACTGATGTTCCCTTAACAACCTTTGTGAACAATCTCATATTTTCTTTTCACCACATCAGAGATTCTTTTTCAAGGTATGGCCAGCATCTCTCTCAATCCCACAGGAACCTCCTGTACAGAATCAAAGTTTCTTTTTTTTTTTTGTAGGTTTTCATGTGATGAAAACATATAAAGCTGATTATGGCATGTCACATCAACAAAATAAGCCCTTATTCCACCTTAACAGCAATGAGCATGAATTTGAGTTTGAAGGTCTACTCTGAAGATCTCAATGCAGACTAAACCCAGAAAACATTTGATCTGGGTCATGACAAACAGGAAAATGAAGAGAGTGAAAACTTTGGACAAAATTATTGATGATTTGGCCAAATCAGAAAAATACTTATGCAAATCAAAACTGTACATAGTTTAAAAGAAATGCAAATATGTTCAGGAAGAATGAACCAAAATTTACATTGAACCATGACATAAACACTTGGAAAGGATTTAGAAAGATGGTCAAACAACTCATTCATTCATTTCTGTCAAGTTACAATCGACTCATAGCAGATTCTATAGCAGATTTTCAGACTGTAAATCACATGGAAGGAAACTGCACACAGCTCTTTCTTGGAGCAGCTGGTGGATGGGAACTGCCCACCTTTGGAATGGCAGTGACACTCAGGTCTTATTGACTGTTAGTTTTACAAACCATCTATCCAACAATAATACCACCCTGAACCTTCATCTTATCCTTGTCAAAACAGATATAAATTATAGACATTCCTAACACATGAATCTGTGTTAATGAAGCATGAACACTGGTAAGTTTCATGCTAACTAAGTTTTAAATTTCAGAACACAAAGCTCATTTTTATTTTATTCCTTAGGCAAAAGTCAAGGACAATACCTATTTTCTCAGGCTTGAGTAGCTTGAAGGAGACTGTTGAGGTTCCTTTGCCCCCTGATTTGGTTGTGACGATGATGTCTCCTTTGTCATTTTTGGCTTGTCCCACACGACATACAATTTTACTTGCAGACATCCATTCTGCCGTCAGAAGGCAATTATGTCCACAAATCGTCAGACCTGGGAATGCAAGAATGACATAATAAAGTTCACACAAAAAGTGATAAGGCTTCAAGTAACCAGTATAAAATAAAAATTTTTTTAAAAAGTAATAAGGCCTTAAATTTGTCTCCTACAGAAAAAAAATCAATTTTTTCTGTTAGTAGTAGCACCAGAAATGGTACTTTAATTGTTTTTGGTGAAACATTCTTCTAGGTCATATAGCCCTGGCCTGTCCACTTGCTGTACAGAGAGGAAATCTGTGGTTGCTATGAAGCTGAAAACTGTTGACATTAATATGTCAAATGTGAGAATGGTTACCCATGGTGGACAGTGTTTGGTGGAGCTCCCTGATTAAAACAAGCTTGGAAGCAGGAGTGTCATCCACCTCCAAAATACCTTGCCTCTGGAAACTCCATGAACCTGGAGAAAAGATGAAAGTTATACGAGTGTCCAGGTTTTTCATGTATAGGGTCACTGTGAGTCACCTACGACTCGACAGCACTTAACAACAACAACAGTAGTACCAGACCTTTGCATGGACTGAAAAACTGAACCTAGAAGTAATATTTTGTTATTTCTGTTCAGTGTTGTTGCTTTTGTTGTTAGTCCTGCTATGTGACCCAGAACAACAGATCTGAATCCTGCCCTATCCTATGCCATCCTCACTATTTCGTCTATACCTGAGGTCACTGTAACAGTCATTGTTGTATATCCTTCTCATTGAAAGTCTCCCCCTCCTTTGCTGACCTTTCCAAACATGATGTTCTTTTCCAAGGACTAGCCCCTCTTAACAATATGCCCAAAGTATATGAGATGAAGTTTCACCATTCTGGTGTCTGGGAAGCACTCTGTTTACACTTTCTCCAAAACAAACTTGTTCATTCTTTGGGCAGTCTATGAAATACTCATTACTCTCCCACAACAATATATCTCAAAGGCCTTAGTTCTTCTGTCATCTTTATTCACTGTCTAACTAACAGATGCACTAGCAAGTAACTGGATAGTATTTTATTACTGAATATATTATTTATTAATATACTGCTATTTCTATTGATTTTCAGCTATTTTTAAGCAAATATTTGGTTTCTCCTATGCTATTTTTATATTTCTTTAAATATCAATGGAATTATAATTTATAACAATAATGTCTATAGCCTCTCCAGATTAGACCAGTAGAATTTTAGATTGTTTTCATTGGCATTAAAATGGAAAGTATCACTATGGAAGATGGAGAAAAGAATGAAATTGTCAATGATTTCATCTTACTTGGATCCACATTCACCACTCTTGATACCAGCAGTCAGGACATCAAGAGACATATTACAATTGAGCAGACTGCTGTCAGAGACCTCTCCAAAGTTATAAAGAGAAATTATATAGATTTAAAGACTAAGATGTGCCTAATTCAAGACAGGCTTTCCAACCACCTGCTACGCTATTTGAGAGCTGGACAGTGAATAAGGGTGACAGAAGAATAACGGGTGCCTTTGAGTTGTGGTGCTAAAGAGTAGACTGTGAAATAAACCAAACACATATGCCTTGGAGACAAAATGTAACCAGAGTGTTCGGAGGCAAGGGTGGTGAAGCTTTTACACACGTTGGGCATGTTAGGAGAGGCAAGGATCAGAGAGGGACGTCATGCTCTGAAAGTATCAGCTAAAGAGAGGAAGACCCTCAACAAGATGGAACGACACAGTGACTATGGCGATGAGTACAAGTCTGGTGTGTCAGGGATAATCAGGACAGACCAGGGTTCATATCTGTTGTTTATAGGGTCAGTATAAGTCATACTTTACTTGATGCCACTTAACAACGACAAATTGCTATTACTAGAAGTTTAATCTATTGTTTAAATTATTCTCTAAAGTATTTTATGCTTACCTAACTTCCTGAAAAACAAACAAAAAAAACCCCTGTAGGAACTTTTATTAGTGTTTAGTTATATGCTGTATTATAAGTAAAGTGGATCCTTTAGACATATTCTGGAGTATGGCAAACTCAGTAAAATTTTCTCCAGCATTACTGGATGACTACCTCATGGCACAGGATAGGGCAGGGTTCAGGCTGGCTGTTCCCAGTATCCCTAAGAGGTGTGCTTGATTCAACGGCACCTAACAACAACAATCACCTCATGTTATATTTGCATATGAGCTCAGACAATAACAGCTGTGCCACCTTAGTGTCTTCCTGATAAGGCTGCCACTCTTTCTGTTGTTACCGTCAAATGGCATTCCAGAGCAGCATCTCCTTTCATTCATCATGGCTTTCACTTGCAGACAACCTGTAAATAAAGTAAAAGGCTGACTGTGCCCACATAGATAAGCACTGAAGGTTCTAGCAGATGCGACTACACAGGCAAGCTACGAGAGACAGGCCCCTTGCTATTCTTCTAACTAATTTCCTCTGCATTTTGATTTCCACAGAGCCAAGACCAAGATCAAAAGGTATTTATGGAGAAAAAGAAATCAGGCTGTCTGTGGCAAAGAACAGACACACTTTCTATTTTCTTTAAGTAACTTTTTGTACTGCTTAAGAGATACATGTGGCAACATTTTTTTTTCAGATATCAGAATGCCTATAAAAAGGTAATATTTTGTTTTAACAAAAAAAAGAAATTGATTCAAACTGTCTTTAGTCACAACTTACAGCACTACGATAAAAACACACTGGTAACCACAAAGGAACAAAATAAAAACTCATCACTGTTGAGTGAAAACCAACTCCTATCTGACTGGTTTTCAGAGGCTATAAATAGCACAGGGGGGAGTGCCCATCTTTCTTCCACGGAATTTCTGGTGGTAGAACCTCCAGAGAGGCTTAAACCTTGTCTGAGTTAGCACCCCAAACCTCTACTGACTATGCCACCAGAGGCTCCCAACAAAGGAAAATAAGGTCTACAATTTTAAGTATTTCTATGTCTTGAAATAATTTGGGGGTTTCTCCAAATTATCTCTTATTTAATCATTCATGTATGGCATTTTATTTTCAGAACATTTAAGGACTTCTTTAAACTGAATTTCTGGTTGAAATTTCTTAATGCATAATTTTTAATGAATTTATAACTCTTAAATTATATTTTCAGAGTAGAAACATCTTTGGGGATTTTTATCCTGATAATCAATTATTATGAAAAACTCAAACAATCTGATAGACTCCCTAGAGTCCTTGCTGCTCAAATATTTTTCATGTCTAATAATGCCTTGTGCTTTTAAAGAGCAATTTTTTTCATTCATAACCAACTTTATTATAGCTAGTAGGTACTCTGGTAGATATACAGTAGACAAAGCTACTGGTCAATACACATTTAATATGGTTAAATTCAATACTTCAGAAAAGAGAATAAATCAACAATAAACATCAGGACATAAAGCAAGAATTAAAACAGCATCTTTTTTAAAAAAATGTTGTGTCTAGGTGTGTCAGAGACAATGAAGAATGGCTCAAGATAGAGCAGGATTCAGAGCCATTGTACATAGGGTGGCTGAGTTGCAAGCAACTCAATGGCACATAATAACAAGAACAGCATAAGTTGTTTGGTAAAGAATGATCCTATAGCTACACTGAAAAAAAGTCAATTTCACACAAAGATACTAACTTCTCTGACAGGTTCTCCTGACCAAGCTTCAAACCAGTTCACAGCAAGAGCTTAGTTTATGGATCAGCCAGGGTTGCTATCAATTCTCTGATGCTTAATAATGATCAACATTATCACTCCAAATAATGACCAAATTATTTAAACAGGTTCAGATAGCTCCTTCTGAAGGTCATGAGAAGAAAAGAAAACTCAGACTAGCCTATTTCATCAGCACATTTCCCTATGTTACATAATGCTAAAAAAATCTGCTTTATAAAATATAATAGCATCCTTTTTTAAAAAAGAAATTTGCAAAATTCCAAGTATGTTTTACACTATTTTACTTGGCTAGTGTAAACAGGATCTGAGTCTAAGAACACTTAAATTATTTAGCAGGTTAAGTTTGTTCTGTTTCAGTTTTAGAGATTTTTTTTCTTCTTAACAGTTTATTGTCAATACCTGAGGCAGGCTAGGCTACGAGCTGAATAATTAATAAGGTTTATTAAAACGATACATAATTAGTCAGATAGAATAGCACTGCCTGAAGCTAAAGCAAGAATAAAAGTTAACAGAGACCAGTCACTATGAAGTTTGGGAGCTCAAGGTGGTTTCCAGGAAAGATTTTGGGTATAATCTTCATCAGAAAGTCCACACATTCTGAGAGAGTGCAGGTCTGCAGAGGAAGGTGGTCCCTAGCTCCTGTGCTCCTCAGGCTGACAAGAACAACTACAGATTTTTTAAGAGGTAGCTGAAGGTAGAAAATCCTCACCAAGGTACACATATGCAAGATCTCAGAGTGCAGCCAACAGGAGACAGGTAGGGTTCTACCCCTTCAAAATCATAACAGATAGACTGCTGTTGACTGCCAGAGGAAGGTAGTCTCTGGTTCCTCTGCTCATCAGCCCCACAAGGACAAATGCAAATTTCAGAAGCGAGTGCAGGTTAGAAGGATAGAGAACTGCAAGAATGGAGAGATTTTTTACTTTAACCTTTAGAAGAGGTAGGCAACACTAAACTTTGGAAGGGGTGGGCAAGACTGCACTTCAGTCCAAAGAGATGGTGAAGGACCTTAGGAGTGTTCCCAGTGCACAGGTCTAGAAAGGACTTCTGGCATAGCAAGCTTCCCTCTCTCATAAAAAGAACACTTTAAGTCAGTAAGTAATAAATAATACCATAAAGAACTATGAACAACCTATGCAGATACAATACAAAGGTCCTAAGAAAGTCCAAAAAAAACTTCACATAATGGCAATAAAGAAGCAAGGAGCTTCAAAACATTGTGAAAAAACAAAATAAGCTTTCTCCTAAAAATGCAGATGATATTGCAGATCCAATGAATAGCCCAGAGACAGAAAAGCAGAAAAAATATATTGACATAGAGTCACATGAACAGCTAAAGGAAAAGGTACAAATACTGGAAGAAAGAATGGAAATAATAAACATA